AAGAGACTGTTGAGAACTGAGAGCAAACTGAGGGTTGATGGGGGGTGGGAGGGAGGAGAGGGTGGGTGATGGGTATTGAGGAGGGCACCTTTTGGGATGAGCACTGGGTGTTGTATGGAAACCAATTTGACAATAAATTTCATATATAAATAAAAAAAAATAAATATTAAAAAAATATGTGCTTTTAAATAAAAAGTAAAAAATTTTAAAATATATTTTACTGTACCATAAATGTAAAAAAGTATTATTTCAACATGTCATTAGTATGAAATTATTAGTGAGATATTTTATATGTTTTGTACTAGGTCTATAAACTTTGGTTTGTATTTTACACTTACAGCATATCTCAATTCAGATGCTTAAGTTTCATCAGAAATAGCCATCTATATTTAGACTTCATAAAATGTACAGATGAAAAAGTAGATGCACATTCCAAGTTGTTCCAAAAACATTTAAGTTTTCCAAGAATAGAATCAAGTATCAGTTTTTTATATATTACTTAAAATTAAATAGTATCAAAAATTTAGCTGTTCACTTTGAAGTGCTCGATAGTCACATGTGCCTAATCACTTCCATACTGGATAATGAAGCCCTATAAAACAAGAAGCTTAGATAATCGCTAAATAAATGAACAAGTCTAAGCCTTGGTTTCCCAACTCTGAATCTTTTCCACATTTAACAAATCACTCTTTGCAACTCCTTAAGAAAGTACAACTTGCTTTATAAACTAATGGAAACAGTGATAATAAATAGGCTGTTGCACAAGCCGCAACATGAAGTTAAGAATTTAATGTCCCACCACTCCTTGGCAGTCTTTGAATAGCAGATAAATCTCTTTTAGGCATTACAATACTTTTTTCCTTTTTCTTCAATATTTACCCTTCTGCACAAGTAAGCAAACAAAACCAAAACAACTCAAACAATGATAACTAATATATCAAAGCATTGCATACTTTTTAAAGGCTTACTAGGTTTTTTAAAATTTATCTAGATAGAGAAATGACTGAGAAGTGGAGACCATCTTGTAATTCTGAACTCCAGACACATTTAAACAATGTGTGTAGTAATGATGTAAACATAAATCTTGCTAGAGTCCTAATGATAATATTTTTATTAATTTATAGATTTACTTATAACCTTATACACTTAACCCATTCTAGTCAAATAAAATAACTTTTGGAAATGTTTTCATGATTTAGGTACTAAACCAGCTAGAATATCAGAGTTCCTCACCTTTAATCCCAAAGTCTTAACTTTTCTTGCTGAAGCAGGCAAGGTAATATCTTTGTCAATATTAAGATTTTGTTGAGATTCTAAAATAAAATAAATTGTACAGATTTTAGTTGGCACTTACATGTTTGAAACACAGACAAAACCCAATTTCCAAATTTCTTATTATAATTCGTGAAGTAGTATTAAAGTTATTTTTTTCTGTCTGTATATGTCCAAATAATTAGTTGTACAATAGTTTACACATCTAATACTTTTCTGATTTTCCTAATATTCCCTGATGGAAAGTTAAGGTGATTACCAAAAGGGAAACTATGTATCTATGTGAGTGTCTTGCTTAACTTTCCTGGTTACACAACAGTGAAATGATTAAAGCATTAGTCTGCAGTTGACTCTTTTGTAAATTCATCAAATAAGAAAATTTAAATATAACTGTAGCTTTGCATTTTTAGAAATACTATAGAATCTTTTAATTTAAATACTGTTACTCATAATTTTACAGCTTATGAGATCATATAACCATTATGTTATTTGGGAATCTGTTACCTTTCTGTTTTTTAAATCTTTGTGATTTCTGAAAAGATACCGGTCCTTTCAATACTTCTGAAGTTGTAACATCATAAGCACCTGGAGATGGTGCACAACCTACAGGAAACATAAAACATTAATTAATGTCTCATCTTATGCTACTTATGATCTTAAGTTAAAAATATGTTATAATATAATGAGTAATATAAATGTAAAATGCCATTAATAAATTGTTTGTTTTTTCAGGAGTTCCTGGGTGGCTCAGTTGATTGAGCGTCTGACTTGAGCTCAGGTCACATAAAGCCCTGCATCAGACTTGTTGCTGTAAGCACAGTGTCCACCTCAGATCCTCTCTTCCCCTCTCTCTGTGCCCTCCCCCATTCATGTGCTTTCAAAAATTAAAAAACAAAAACAAAAACAATAAAACCTAAACTTTAAAATAAATTGTTTTTTCAAATGTAAAAATTTGTATTACAAAACAGGCCTCTTTATGAAGAAAACATCATTATCTTCCCAAATGATCTTTATTTCAATGAGTCAAAGGAACACAGGCAACTGAGCAAAACAGCAAAGACAGTCTTGAAATAAACATCAGGAAAGAACAAGCAACATGGCTTTGTTATTAAGGATTGAATGTAAGAAAAAAAGATTTGGAATCAACCCTACCCAAAAAGAGTCACAGGTAATTACCATCAGATTCTAGAAATGAATAATGATCATTTTATATGTACTCACACAAAGATTCCAATACTGGGAGCTTTTAGATCTAAATGTGGTCAATAAGGGGTTGAGGTAGTAGATTTCCAATCAGGAAAGAGCCTCAAAATGAAGTACAGAATTCAATGGGGCGTCTAAGGTAAAGGCAGACTTAGAAACATTAGTCTTGGCTAGCTCAGATCTCTCACACTCCATCAACTGTTTACACCCTGGGGTAAACAGGAGGCTGACATCGGTTTCCCTAAAATCAGTTTAAGGGTCGCACATCTTAAAGCACCTACGTCACCCATTTGGAATAGGGATCAGCAGAAGCAGCGCAGAACATATCATATTTTAAAGTAACAAGAGACTTCAAAGAAAACTGCCGGCACTGTTGCCCTTTTTGGGGAGGTGGGGATGAGTGTATCCAGAACATGTGGCTATTCTTTGCTCCCTGCTTTTGTTTTTTATCTACAAATGTTTGTTTGTTTATTTCCTTATTTATTTAGAGTATGAACAAGTGGGGCAGGGACAGAGAGAGAGGGAGAATCCCAAGCAGCTCTACGTTGTCAGCACTGAGCCTGATGTGGGGCTCAAACTCACCAACTGTGAGATCATGACCCAAGCTGAAACCAGGAGTTTGACGCTTAACCGACTAAGCCACCCAGATGCCCCATAAAAAAGTTTTTTTTTTAAGCTGTAGGCCCAAGCTGGGGCTTGAACTTACAACCCTGAGATCAAGAGTCACATGCTCTACCAAGTGAGCCAGCAAGATGCCCTGCTCTCTGCTTTTAGGAATGTTTCTGTGGCAAAGTGTGAGAAGCACTGGTCTAGACTTGTCAGAGCAGCCAGAAGATAAAATGCGGTTGAATTCTTGTATTCTGGTTCATCATTAGGTCTACACTCTCAAAAGGGGATATGGGCCAGCGAAAGATCAGATGGCGTACAGTGACTAAGCAGCATCACGCGAGTTGAGAACAATTAAAATCGCACTTAACAAAAACTTCCCTAAAGAGCAAAAATCCCATTTGATACTTATGGGGATTTAGATTCAAGAACTAGGTTGAAATCCAGGCTTTGTGAGACTGTAGTATGTGCTATTTTCATGCTCTGGGTCTTTTCCTTACCAACGCTTAAATGTACGACATCACAGATACATATGACTTGCTAGAAATGTGGGGAGAGGGGACATTAGACAAATGGGATGGGATATCCTGGGAGATAACACAAGCTTTCTGGCACAACTTCTATTTTGATCAACAATAATCGGAAGCTAACACAGGCAGTCAATACTTGTAAACAAACCAAACATTTTATGTATTACATTAAATAAATGCTTCAAACTTCCAGATCTCTTTATTTTCTATTTCTTCCACCTCGAATGGACAGCCCACCTTCCAGTTTGCCTGGCTAACTCTCAGTTACCTTTCAGATCTCAGCCTCTTCCAGTTTTCTCTGAATCCCCAAATCAGGTTGGAAACCTCCCTCCATAGCAGCCTGTGAATAGTGTTCTTATCAAAGAACTTGACACTTTTGTAATGGCTTTTAATACACTTATCCATCTCCCAAATCAGATAATGTACTTATTCATCTTGCAAGTTAGATAAAATTGGTTGAAGTTAGAAACTCTCTTGATCATGCCTGTATCCCCAGTATTTGGCTCAGGGTTGAGTTTGGCAGTATGGTGAAGAAAACATAGAAAGTCACTGGGGATGTCAGAATGGGAATAGAGTTTTGTAATTCCTCCAATCAGGCTTCAAATCCAGCCTTGTATGCCAATCAATGGACATTACTATGTGCCAAGTACCTTCAGTCATAGGGGAAAGATGTGAACATTATACTCTCTGATTTTCTAATCTAGCTTTAAGACCCCTGGAAAGTTATTTTTATTCAAGGCTGAATTCCCCAGTTGTGAAACAGGAATAAAAGAGTATCTACCTCATAGTTGTTGGGGTTACTGGAGTAATAAGAGAAATCACTACAGTGCTCACATATGCAAAAGCATCAAATAAATGATAACTATTATTACTCCTGAAACTGTGAATCTGAAATATTTTAACACTGGTAAAGGCAATTTAATCTATTATAAAGAAAATAAAATTCTCCTTAAAAGACACACTGCTGAGAGAATTTACAGAAGGTTCTTTGAATATCCAGGAAATATACATTCCCTGAATCTCTTAATTTAGAAAATATGCTTGTGCTGATCCATTTGTCACTTGGCTTTTGTTTGTGAACAAAGTGATTCTTATTTCCACTTGCATGTTGGCTGGCAAGTTAAAGATGTAACAAATGATCATTAAAAAGTGTATATTATTGGAGAGCTGGGTGGCTCAGATCATGATCTTACAGCTCCGGAGTTCAAGCCCCGCATCAGACTCTGAGCTGACAGCACAGAGCCTGCTTCAGATCCTGTCTCTCTCTCTGCCCTCCCTTGTCTGTGTGTTTCTCTCAAAAATAAACTAAAAAAACATTAAAAATATGTATTATAATGGGTAACGGATAAATCAGGGGCTTTGATGTTCAGCCCTCCCCCTCACTTGCTGCTCAGTACAGTTACAAAACTCCTCCATTTCTTCAAGTGTACAATGAGGACAATATCAGTACCTTTCTCACCTGGCTGTTGGAAAGAGTAAACCAGACCGAACAGGGAAGACCTTAGCACAGTCCCTGCATACAGTTTGTGTCTACTGAATGAGTGCCTCACCAACCACATCTGAGTCTTACGGTTATTGTGCTTATGCCCTACAGTGGTTAAGAGCACAGGATGGATTCATGGAGGCCGGGTTTCATGTCCTAGTTCTGCTAGTTTGGTTGTGTAACGCTGAGCAAATCTAAGTGTCAGTATTTTTGTCAATAAAATATTGAATAACAGGATGACCTCTCAGGAATGTTGGACAATTAAAGAAGAATTAACTGTAAATACTTAGCATGGTACTGTTGATATTACCTGTTACTACTTCATTAATAATGTTCTCAGTAAGCGCAGCTACCATAATTTTACCCAAAAACTGCCGTTCCCAATCAGCATTCTTGTATTCCTGAGCGGAATATCTACAAGAAATCCACAAGTTCATACGAAAAAGCAGTGGTCAATTTTTTTTTTTTTTTTTTAAATAAGTGAGGCCTTCTGGGCTTGACCACCAAATACCTACTAAATAGCTTCCTTATCCCCATCTCCTTCCCTCTGCTTTAGTTTCTCCACAGACTAATTGTTTATTAGCTCTACTGTCCATTTGAATGCAAGCTACTTGGGCAGGGACTTTGCTTCATTCGCTGCTGTATCCTTCTCACTCTGAATAGTGCTAGGCATGTAGTAAATGCTTCGTATAGATCCCAGAAAAACTAGTCAGTTGAAGGAGACCCATCCTAGCCCTAAAATCGCCTATTTGCCTCTGATGAAGGGAACAGAGAGGGGCAAGGTGCGTGACACCATATCCCATCCCCCAGCTCCTTTCCCTGTACGCACCAGAAGGGTCATTGAATCGTTTCAGGGGCGCCTTAGGAAAGGACATGTTGACGACCAGCTCCACAAACCGAAGGTCACTAGCGGTCCTCGGCAACTTCCCGCTGCCTTACAGTCTACTTGCTCCAAATTCAAATCTCCCCGCTTATTCCCCGCCCACCTTCACGTCAGCAGGTTCGAAAACCAAAACCCTGGGCACACCAATCCAGGACAGGAACAGCTAAAGAGCATGCGCACCTGGCCTCGCAGCATGTAATTAGCGGTTCCGTGAGTTCCGGTTACTAGCCAATAGGAGACTATTACTGCCTCCTCCCTTCCCCACCCCAAGCAGTGTCCAATCATTCTTGGCGTTACTCAATTGTAACTTACAGAAGAGCAGCATTTGCGCAAGCGCATTTCATAGCTGAAAAGGTCGGAAGTCCGCCTTTGGCGTCATATAGGTGGCAGTGCAGTGAGTTCTAGTTTCACTGGTTCCAACCTCCTCTCGCCGTTCCTTGGGTGTAAACCCCCCGGGTTTCAGTTCTTTCAAACCGGCTACTGAAAGGGTCCTAAATGGCCATTGAAAAGGAAAAAGGAATACGCTGAGACGTCGCTTACGTCCCTGCGCATGTGCAGTTACCTGAGCTGACTGTCCAGGGCGTGGCCTAAGCGTGGACGCTCCGCGCGTGCGCTCACCTCGCTTCTTGTGGCTGCAGCTGGGAGGCTACTGGAGTATGTCGGCTCCGTTTGAGGAACGCAGTGGGGTGGTTCCTTGCGGGACGCCGTGGGGTCAGTGGTACCAGACCTTGGAGGAGGTGTTCATTGAAGTTCAGGTGCCGCCAGGCACTCGCGCCCAGGATATCCAGTGCGGCCTGCAGAGCCGGCATGTGGCGCTGGCCGTGGGTGGTCGCGAGATCCTTAAGGTAGCGGCAAGTCGGGGCTTGTGCCCAGTTTCTTCCTGGCCTCTAAGTCCCCGAGTCCTAAGGTTCAGGGTTTCCGTGGAAAGACTTGGAAGGCCGAATGGCTCCTTGCCCGAAAGAGCTATAGCATTGGCTTAGTTTTGTTTTGGTCGGAGCCCCCACTCAAGGCTGGTCCTGAGTTGAGTGGAGATTTGAGGAGCCCAATTTTCTGGCTTTCTCAACCAAATGAAACTGCTTCTTTTGTTCCTCTGCGGGTCTTCACCTGGATCTTTAAAGGAACAAATGTTTATCGTACGTATATTTTCTTCCAGGCACTGATTTAGGTGCTAAGAGGTCAGAAGTGAGTAAGACATACGTTTCTTGCACACAGATTATGTTCTTGTAGGGAGGCATAATAAAACTAAGCTAATAAGTGTTTAGGAAGTCACGGAAAAGTAAAGAAGAAAATAAGGGATAAGGATATAGGGATGAGGATTCAGAGACGATATCAGGTGATTTATTTTTTCATCAAAATGAGACAAAAATCTGCATGTTTGTGGAGTGGTTAAGCAGATAGAATAGGGTTGTTTGGAGAGAATAATACTTCTTTTATTCTCATCATGCCCCTTAGATCTGAGAACTGCATTTTCCTGGATAAGCTTTATAGTTAAATTCAATTACGTCGAAGTTGGACTTCTTTCCCAGATTACATACTCACGATGTTTGACGATAGTGTAGCGAAGGGAGATTCCTTGATGTAGGATACCTGGCTCTGCCATTTCTCTAATTTTGTAACCTTGGGCAAGAGATTATTCTGTGTCCCTATGCCTTCATCCACAAAGTGTGATAATTATAGTACCTTTCTGATAGGATTGTTTTGAGCATTAGGTGGTATCCATGGGAATTAAGAGTTTGGGCAAGTGCCTGGTATGTAATGAGTTTACATGCTAGCTGTTACTGTTATTTTTAATATGGAAGTGCTTTAAGTGCCTCAGAGAAAAGGAGAGAGTCCTGTGGAAGACATTGATTTATGTCAGCTTGGATTTTAATGACCTTTCTGAATAGTTGTGCAGTTCGTGGTTTCCTGAACAGTGGTTTAAGATTACCATTCAAATTTCCCTTAGTAATTTCAGAACTTTAGCAGTGACTTTAACAGTAACTTTATTTACAATTTAGCAGTAACTTCAACTTCAGGATTTTAGATACATGTTTAGACTAGTAAGATTTTTTTCTCACTGGTGTTGAAATACGAAAAAATGTGTTTGCTTTATGTGGCATTTTAATTTTATTTCCTAAAACTTAAATTTGGCAAGTAGCAACAAATCAAAATGGATTTGAGCAGATGCATTCTCTTTTAAACTTATGTTCTGTTGATTTCTTTCTTAAAACAACAGTTTCATCACAGCTTATCTGAAATCAGAACTACAGTATGTGCTTTAAAAATTTTTAGTGCTACATTGCCCAACAAAGAGATTGAACCAGATTTTTGAAGTTTATTTTAAAAGACATCATTTCTTAGTTTCAGCAGGGAAGCTCTTGTAGTTCATTTTAATTGGTAAAGTCAAAGCATTTCAGATATTAATTTCACATTTGGCTGCTAAGTGATCAGTGATATTTATTCATCTCCTGAAAATTAAGGAGTTCTGACCTTTCTTTTGAGAGCTCTGTGTTGTCAGTAAATATTCCAAGCAGTGTAAACTAGGTTGCATTTCACTTGCTACGAGGAAAGATAGGGTTGAACACCTATCAATATGTTGAAATGGTATAAAATTTTATCTCCCTACCATAACCAAGCTAGACAACTAACATCTGGATTAGATAGGAAATTAGCAAAGTTGGGGCACTTGGGTGGTCAGTTAAGCATCCAATTTTGGCTCAGGTCATGATCTCACAGTTCGTGAGTTTGAGCCCTCGTTGGGCTCTGTGCCAATAGCTTGGAGCCTGGAGCATGGTTTGGATTCTGTGTCTCGCTCTCTGACCCTCTCCCACTTGCACTCTGTCTCTCTCTCTCTCTCTCTCTCTCTCTCTCTCTCTCAAAAATAGATAAACATTAAAAAAAATTGTAAACAAAAGAAATTGGCAAACTCTTAAATCATGAAAGTCTTATAAAAATTAATGACATTAATGTTTTCAGTACATAGATATTTCATGTACTAAAATAAACATTTTTATTTATTTATTTTTTGTACTAAAATAAATATGTTTATTTTTCAGGGCAAACTCTTTGATTCTACAATAGCTGATGAGGGAACATGGACTTTGGGTAAGGGTGATCTATAATTGTTGGAATCTTTTTAAAAATTAATCTTGTCTTCAAACTTAGTATGTTTCTTCTGTGGTATCAGGTTCTTTGTCTTTGCAGCTCTGGAAGATAGAGTGATAGAAATGTATTGTAAATAGTTACCTAATGGTTTTTGAAAATATACAATTTTATGATGAACTCTAATTTCTTTGTGTTTTTTGTTTAGAGGACAGAAAAATGGTCCGTATTGTTCTTACAAAGACAAAGAGAGATGCAGCAAATTGTTGGACTTCTCTTCTAGAATCTGAATATGCAGCTGATCCTTGGGTGCAAGACCAAATGCAGAGAAAACTTACATTAGAAAGATTCCAGAAAGAAGTAAGTCAGATGAGTGTATGAATATGTATTGTTAAGCATTTTAAGATCATAGAAAAATTATTTTTTGAAATGAAAACTCAAATTTGGTTACAGAAAAATCACAAAAGTTCTTTAAAGGAGTTTTTAAAATTAAATGGTTAGAAAAATTACTGGTCTTCTTTTGTGGATTTTAGTTTTTCAAAATTTCTGGGGAGGGTTTTGTTTGTACTGCCATAGTTTATAAGTTTAAATTTATTTAATGTACACCAGTAATGCATGAGTGAACTCATAAAAATTTAATTAGTATAGACTTACATAGTGTAAAAAAGTTATAGGTTCCTTTCATTAACATCTCTCCATTCCTTGCTTCTGTTTCATTTTTATCTCATTGATATATTGGCTTGCTGCTTTGTTTGTAACATAAATGCAGGATCACACTATATGTATTGTTTGTTTTTTTTCTCCTTCTAAGTGCTTCAGAATGTTTTCTCATTTGACTGTATCATCGTTATTTATTTAGCTCTTCCCTTTTGATAAGATTTGGATTTTCCGATTTGTATGTATTTCACAGTTTGTTCTTTCATCTTTTTGAAACTATTCCAGTGTTCCATTAATTTATCTAGGAGAAGAATTACTGGATCAAAGCACTCTTCAAATTTTGATGGATAATTTCTATGTATATAATGGTGATTTCCTAATTTGTATCTCCAGTCTAGACTTTTCTCCCAAGTATTGGACTCACGTTTCTAGTTGCATATTCAGCATCTCCACTTGTCGATCTGACCTATCAGACTCAACATACTCAACATAAACTTCCTAACTTCCTCCCACACTTGTTATACCTCTAGCCTTCTCATCTTGGTTGATAGAAACTGCTTGTTCAGAAATGGGAAATCATCCTCCATTCCTAGCTCTCTCTCACACACTGTATCCAATTTGTTAGGAAACCTTACTGGCACTACCTTCCAAGGATATTCAGAATTTGTCCTCTTGTCACCACCAACTTTCCAACCACTCTGATCTGGACCACCTGTAATGTCTTGCCTAGGTTACTCTAATAGCCTTCTAATGGTTTTCGTCTACCCTTACCAAGCTGCAGTGTTCTCAAAACAGCATAGCAGTCCTTTTAAAAATGCAAGTCAGAACACATCGCTTCTCTTCTCAGAACTCTTTCAGTCTAGTAAAAGACAAAGTTTTTTTTCCAGGCCCTATCTGATATGGTCTTCCATGATCTCCCTGACTTCTTCTCCTGCAACTGTCTCCTGCTTCAGTCATTTTACCTTAGTCATATTGTATTACCTTAGCCTTTTTGTATTTTTGAATATTCCAGGCCATTCCTTTTCTGTCCTTTTGACTACAGTGTTCTCCCAAAGCTTGGCTGACTTCTTCATTGTTTTCAAGTCATTGCTCTGTAAAGCATATTTTGATCTTTGATCATCCTATTTAAATACTATAATCTCATTTCCCTTACTTTGCCCTTCCTTCCTTCCTTCCTTCCTTCTTTCCTTCCTTCCTTCCTTCCTGGCACTTGCACCAACTGCTAACGCTCTGGATCAGGGGCTGGGAAGCTATGGTCCATGGGTGAAATCTGGCCGACTCCCAGTTTTTGAAGTGAAGTTATACTGCAATACAGCTATGCTTGTTCTTTTGGTATTTTCTTTCATATAGTGATACCAGACTTAAGTAGTTATGGCAGAGACTATGCGGCCTTCATAGCCTAAAATATTTACTACTTGGCTCTTTACAGAAAAGTTGGCCAACCCCTCTACTAGCTAACTTACAGTTTTATTGTTTGTGTTCTCCTATAACAATGGCAGCTCCACCAGTGCAGGGATCTTTGTTTTATTCACTCTTGAATTCCACGTGCTTCTAATGGTGTCTTCCAAACAGTTGGAACTCAGTAAATGTTTGTTGAATAAGTGAAATGCCCTCCAAAGAGACTAAAGCATGAGTTAGTACTTACTTCATAGGATTATTATGAGGATTAAATATGTTAATAAATGCATTGCTCTTAGAACCCTGCCTGGCATGTAGCAAACTCTCAAATGATGCTAGTTATTAAAATCTATTTTCACACTTAGTATACTAAGTATTGTGTTTGTCCATACACTTGCCAACCTTTTAATATACGTATTGATCTTCTAAACATTTGTAGATCTGAAAATTCAAATATACCTTCTAATTTTAAGTTCTATTTTGGTGATTACAGTGAAATTTGGTATCTTTTCACATGTTTATTGGTCATTTAGATTTCCTGTTTTGTCAGTGGCTAGTTCATGTCTTTACCATTTCCCTTTTGGGTTACTTATACTTTTCCTTAAAAGTTTTATTTTATCATAATTTTTTTCATGTCTTTTAGAATCCTGGTTTTGACTTCAGTGGAGCAGAAATCTCAGGAAACTACTCTAAAGGTGGACCAGATTTCTCAAATCTTGAGAAATAACCACTACTTTTTTTTTGCTGCATTCTGTGGATCTCAGCAGATGTTGCCAACTTAATCAAAGGAACAGATTATGTGATGGAAGGAAAATGTGGATACCTGCAGTTAACAAATTGCAAAATATATTTAACTATGGTTCTAAAAATTGTATTCAAATATGAATTACATAGGAAACATCTTAAATACTGTGGAAGCTATTCTACTAATAGAAAGTAACTTTTTTTTTGGACTTGTTTTTTTGCTCAGCATGAAGTTTTATATGCTGCATTTTACTAATTTCATATTTAACCTGTATTTTTAATACAAAAAACATTAGGGTATAGATCATGTGAAATGACCGGGTGCCTTCAGGGACAATTAAATTTTTCTTTCAATAAGTGTAATGCAGGAATAATGATCAATAAACTTTTCTAAATAGGAATTGTGGACCCCTTTGTCTAGGTATACCAGTTCATACAAGGAATTATATTACTGAAAAAAGTTTTAAGAAAGGAAAAGTCCACAAATATATTCTGAGTAATGTAATTTCAAGAGTTAATGAAAATTTCTGAAGTAGCATATTATTCCTTCAGAGATGACTGTCAAGAAATTTGAAAAATAGTTAGAAACCTAACAATAGGAATGGATTAATACAAGACAGAAGCAGTAAAGTGAATGTGGTTATTGGGTGAGTCCTTTGTCAGTGACAGAAAGCAAATTATGGTTAATGTTTATAAGTAAGTGACATAATTTTGCTCTTCAGTGATCCAGACACATAAGTATGGATTGTCTTAAAACTGTGATTCATTCTTTTTATGTCCTTTGAAATTTAAAAATATTTCTGTCTATATTTTTTAAAGGTTTTATTTTTAAGTAAGCTCTATACCCAGTGTGGGGCTTAAACCCACAACTCCGAGATCAAGAGTCTCATGTTCCATCGACTGAGCCAGGCACCTGTCCCTAAGAAATATTTTAAACGGTCCCAACATTTAGAAAAGTTATGTGTAAAGTACGCAAATTGTTTTCTTCCTGATCTGTTTGTAAGTTTATGATATGATGCTGCATCACCTCTGAGTACCTTAGTGTGTATTTCCTTCAAAGAACATGCTCTTACATCACAGTACAACCATTAAAATCAGGAAATTAGCATTGATACCTTCTGACCATCTAATCCTCACATCTTCATTGCATTCAAGTTTAACTGATTGTCCCAGTAATGTCCTATGTAGCAAAAGGATCCAGTTGGAATCATGCCTTGCCTTTAGATTAGATGTCAGGTGTCTTTGGTCTACTTCAATCTGTACCAAGTCTTCATTTTTTCTTGACTTTTGCAGCCTTGGCACTTTTGAAGATTACAGGCTAGTTTTGTACAATATCCCTTATTCTGAGTTTTGTCTGATACTACTTCTTGATTAGATTCAGGTTATGCATCTTTGGCAGGAATGTTACAGAAGTGATGCCACGTTCTTATTGCATCCTGTCATGAGTTAGTAACTTTAATTTGTCCTTTTTCTGATGGTCTTTACTTTAGATCACTGAATAAGTAGTGTCTGCCAGTCTTATCCACAGTAAAGCTATCCTTTTTTGGTTTATAATTTTGTGGGAAAGTAGTTTCAGAGTACTACCTTGTTTTTCATCAAACTTCCAACTTATATCTATATGGACTCATGATTTGCTACTTTGTTCAGTGGGTTAAAATCTATTGTTACCATTACTATGATGCTCACAGTTTTTCTTGATTTGGCCAGGGGAAGACCATTCTAGGTGACTTCTGTCCTTTTGACATGTCCCATCATTATTTGAGTAATTTCTTACTCCCTTCCATGATATATAACAGACTTATGGTTTCCCTGCCCTAGCTCAAGAAAAAGCCATTTTTTTTTAACGTGCCCTGTTTTTTTTAAATGGAGGATGGTATTTAGAAGCCAAGATTTGTGTGCTAGTGAGCAATTGCTGTTGGTGTGTGTGTATGTTGCTTATATATATCTGTATTTATTTCTATATGTATATTTAAAACCATGAGTTCACACTTACACTTTCATTTCTGATCCCGTGGGGTTCATTTTTCTTTTCTCCCTTCCTATAAAACAATAACAGTGAGAAGCCTGATTCCTATATTCTTAATGTATTTGGTTCCCTATACTAGGTCATCTTCTCATCTTCTCATGAATTCTTTCTTTGCTCAGGCTCCTGACACCCTGCTCCAAGCAAGGATATCCTCACCTGCTTGCACCCGAACACCCTATCATGGGCCAGTGCAACCCAGCCATACCCTTTGTCAAAATGTCTACCTTGTTCACTTTACCCAGTTACTTTAGGAATTAATTGCTGGGGAAGAGGCTTTTTTCTTCTGATTGGCTTCTCTTCTTGACATTTAGAAAAAAAAATACTTTGAATAAACAGTAAATTTAACTCTCCTGTTCATAGTTTTATAAATTTTTAAAAAAATATTTATGTATTTTGAGTGCGAGCAAGAACCAGCAGGGGAGGGGCAGAGAGAGAGGGAGACAGAAGCCTGAGCAGGTCCATACTGTTAGCGCAGAACCCAATACAGGGTTCGAATTTACAAACTGTGAGATGATGACCTGCGCTGAAATCAAGAGTTAGATGCTTAACCGACTGAGTGAGCCAGGTGCCCCCATAGTTTTGTGAATTTTTAACATATTGATTCTGTTCATAAGTTTTGTGAATTTTAACATGTAGAGGTATGTGTAAGCACCTCATAAATCAGGAGATTGAACTCTGTGCCCCACACTGGGCTCAAATTCATGACGCTGAGATCAAGTAGACCCATGCTTTACTGACTGAGCCAGCCATGCACCCCAAGAGGTTAGTTTAATCATCACAAAAACAATGCTCTTCTTTGTAGTCATACCCCACTCCTAGCCTCAGACCCTGGCAACCACTGATTAAGACTGTCTCTAGTTTTGTCTTTTCAAGAATGTTACAACAATGGAATCATACATAATACTAAAAAAAAAAAAAAAAAAAAAAAAAAAAAAAAAAAAAACCCAGCTTTATTGAAAAATAATCCACATAGTATACATTTCACCCATTAAAAGTATATAATTCAGTGGTCTTTAGTATAGTCATCTATTCAGCCATTACTATAGTCAGTTTTCATTTTCATCACCTCAAAACTCATTCCTTTTAGCTATCAACTCTCTCCCTTGATGGAACCCCCAGCCAAGCAACCACTGAATAATCTGCTTTCTATCTCATAAATTTCTCTTTTTTGGACATTTCATATACATGGAATCATAATATGTGGTCTTTTGTTACTGGCTTCTTCACTTGACATAATGTTTTAATTGTTTATCCGTGTTCTAGTACGTCAGTATTTCAATCTTTCTATATGGCTGAATAATATATATTATTCAGCTGAATAATCCGTTGTATAACTGCCACACATTTATCCATTTGTCAGTTGATGGACATTTGGGAGGTTTTTACCTTTAGGCTATTATTAGTAATAATAGCCAAAACATTGAAGTTCAAGTTTTTATGTGCGTGTATATTTTCATTTCTTACCTAGAAGTTCTATAGAAATTATGTCTGATCATTTGAGGAATTTCTGGATTGTTTTCCAAAGTTGCTACACCATTTACATTCCTACCAAATATCTCCACATCTTTGCCAACACTTTTTATGCAATTTTGTTTTTTATTTTAGTCATCCTAGTGGATATGAACTGGTATCACACTGGTTTTTTGTGTTTCCCTAATGACTAATAATGTTGAGCATCTTTTCTTGTGCTTATTGGCCATTTATATATCTTCCTTGGAGAAATGTTTATTCAGATCCTTTGCCCATTTTTAATTGGATTATCTTAAGAGTTCTTTATATATTCTGTATGCAGTCTCTTATATTATTTGTATGTATTTTGTTCTATTGTGTAGTTTTTTCACTTTCTTGATGGTGTCTTAAAGTGTGAATGTTTTTAATTTTGATGTATTCTAATAGATCATGCTTTTGGCATCGTGTCTAATAACTCTTTGTGCACTCCTAGGTTATGAAGATTCTTTTCCAGTGTTTTCTTCTAAAAGTTTTATTGTATGTTTTACATTTAGATCTGTCACTTACTTTTTTTTTGTATAAGCTGTGAAATCTAGTTCATATTTTTGCATGTGGATGTCCAATTATTTCAGAATAATTTATTGAGAAGGCATTTCATTCTTCATTAAATTGTTTTTGCACTTTTGTCAAAAATTAGTTGCTATTTATATGGGTCTGTTTTTGGTCTTCCTATTGTATTCTATTGATCTTTGTGTCTGTCCCTTCACAAATACCACACTACCTTAATAATTGTAATTTTGTGATGTCTTAAAATTGGGTAGAAGATTCCTTAAATTTAATTCTTTTTTAAAATTGTTTTGGCTGTTTTAACTTCCTTTGCCTTTCTGTATAAAGTTTAGAATCAGCTAGTCTATATCTACAAAAAAGTCCTGCTAGGGTTTTCATTGGAATAGCATAAGTCTTCAATCCATGAATGTGGGACATCTCTCCATTTAGGATCTCTTTGATTTCAATCATGAGCGTTTTGTGATTTTTAGCTTGTAAAGCATTTACATTTTTTGTTAGATTTATCCGTAAGTGTTCATTTTGTGGAGCTGTTTTAAATGATACATTTTTTGAAATTTCAGTTTCCAATTGCATATAAGTAGTGTATAGAAATGTTGATTTTGTTTGTTGACCTTGCATCCTGTGACCTTGCTAACCTTTCTAAACTTATTTCTAGGGTTTTTTTGTTATGAATTCCTGGGATTTTCTTCATAAACCACAAACAGGAGGTTTTATTTAATCAGTACTACTCCATAAGTCTATCTGTTCTTGCCCTATTGCACTTGCTATAAGAATAGAAGTGGTGGAAGTGGCCATCCCTGTCCTGTTTGATTTTCAAATTTTGATTTAATTTTCAAATTTTGAACCTGCTTGTATTTTCCCACATCCCAGACTTGGTCATGGTATTTTATTGCAGTTTATGTATCTGGATTTGTTTCTTGAAGATTTTTGTGTCTGTTCATCTGGGATACTGGTCAGTAGTTTTGGTTTTTGTATTATATTTATCTTGGTTTGCTACCAGGGTAATGCTAGCCTTATAAAATGAGTTGGGAAGTGATTCTTCTACTTCCTAGAAGAGATTTGTAGAATTTGTTTTGCCTTCTTTCAGTGTTTCATGGGATTTTCCAGTAAGATTTTAAACAACAAATTCAGTTTTTTTTTTTTAATTGTTTTAGGTAATCTTTGCACCCAGCGTGGGGCTCAAACTCATGACCCCAACCAAGATCAAGAGTCACATGCTCTACCAACTGAGCCAGCCAGGCACTTGAATTCATTTTTTGTTTTTAATTTTTAATTTTTTTAATGTTCATTTATTTTTGAGAGAGAGGAAGAAAGAGAGAGAGCACGAGTGGGGAGGGAGAGAGAGGGAGACAAAATCCAAAGCAGGCTCCAGGCTCTCTGAGCTGTCTGCACAGAGCCCGATGCAGGGCTCGAACTCAAAACTATGAGATCATGACCTGAGCCAAAGTCAGACACTTAACCAACTGAGCCACCCAAGTTTGAATTCAGTTTTTAAAAACAGAACTTACTCAGGTTATCTAGTTTTAGTTTACATTATTTTAGTTTAGATCTGGTAGTTTGTGTCTTTCAAGGAACCGATTCATATAACTCGATGTGCATAGTTGTTTGTGTTAGGTCCTGAGTGTCCTTTTAACATAGTGGTACCTCTTTCAGGCCTGAGATTGGTCATTTATGTCTTTTTTGTCAGTCTTGCTAGAGACTCATCAATTTTATTGCTTTATTCAAAGAACTGGTTTTTGGTTTTGTTGATATTCCTTATTGTTTTCAATTTCATTGATTTTTTTTTTAACCCCTCCTTTTTTTATGACCATTTTCCATCTGCTTGCTTTGGGTTTATTCTGCTCGTTTTCTAGTTTCTTTCTGTGGAAGGTTATTGAGACTTTTTTTTTTTCTTAATAAAAGTAATTTGAATGTGAATTACTCTAAGCACTAGTATAGCTACATTTCATACATTTTGATATTTTCATTGAGTTCAAAATATTTTACTCCCTTTAGACTTCCCCTTAGAGCCATGAATTATTGAGAAGTCTGTGGTTTCCAGGTGTTCGTAGATTTTCCTGTTACTGTTCTTAATTCCTAGTTTATGATCAGAGAACATACTTTGTAATTTTAGTTGTTTTAAACTTCTTAAGCGTTGTTTTGTGACCCAGGATATGGTCTGTTTTGGTGAATGTTCCATGTCTATTTGAAAAGAATACTTAATCTGCTATTATAGGATAAAGTTTTTTATGTCAGGGATTCAGTTAGTTGTGGGTATTATTCAGTTTTTGTATATTCTTGCTGATTTCCTAGCAGTTCTATAGATTACTGGTAAGTGTTTAAGTCTCCAGATGTAGTTGAAGCTTTGTCCATTTCTCTTTTCAATGCTGTTTTGGCTTCTTGTATTTTAAGTTCTAATGTCAGGTGCACACAAAGATTTTATTCCTGATTTTAATTGCTCCAACATCTATTTTGTCAAATTGACACAAAAAATTGGCATATCTGTTTTTATCTTTATTTTTTTTATGGATTCTCTACCCCCAGTGTGGGACTGAGACTCATGACCCCAAGATCAAGAGTTGCATGCTGTACTGAGTGAGCCAGATGCCCTCCTCCCCGCCCTAAATTGACATCTGTAAATCAAGCCTATTTGGCTTATGTTTACTCATTTTCGTTTATGAAAATTACAGATTTTAAACTTAGTAAGCAATAACACATCTTATAAAAATCATTTTATTAGTAAAAATAGGAAAAGTAAATTCCATAGTATTATTTTCTGATCATGATGGTGGCACTGAAGTTCATGTGGCCAGAAAATAGTTTCAGTTGTAAAGTACACAATTTCATAAGTCCATGTAATTGTCTATTTTGGGAGGTAATGTGCAGTGGTTAAGAGCACGGCCTTTGCCTGGATTGAAATCCTCATTCCCAAATATCAGATATGTGACCTTGGGCTAATTGCTCACCTTTTGTGTGGCTCCAGTTCATTTGTAAATTGGGATACTCTGATTTGATTTGGAGGATTTGAGATGATTCATATGAAACATGACAGTAGTACCTGACAGTAGAAAACTATCATTGCTAATCACAAATGTTAGATCTAGAAATGTCTGTTTTTATATTTTTAAGTAAGTACTATGCCCAACATGGGGTTTGAATTTAAGACCCAGAGATTAAGAGTCACATGCTCTATAGACAGAGCCAGCTAGGCCCCCCAGAAATGTGTTTTTAGATAGTTTGTTACATAATTTGAAATACAGAAGGTTCAGGTGCCCTTTTGAAAACTAACACTGAAAAGAGGGGTTATTAAGTATGTCTAAGCTAAGTGCAAAAGGAACTTTCCTTTATTAACAGTTTTTGTATCAGTAACTCCTTGCAATGTTCACATTGTCTTCTTAGTTTAATTAACATAATTGCTTCAAAATCCTGTTGTTTCAAATTACCAATTGATCTAAGCAGGCTAACACAGCACCTGGTTGTTAATCTGTCATTACCAAGCACATTGCTGGAATGCCCTTTAAAGTAAGACAGTTTGTACAGAATTTCAAGTGGGCTGAATATAAGGGTGAATTTGTACTGAGGATATCCACAGTAGTCATGAATCTACATGAGAGAAGTAACCAATGTTGCATAAACACCACCTTTTTAATGCACATTAAAACATATTTATCCTAATCTTGTCTTCTAAAAAGCCATTAGCAAGTAAAGCAACAATTAGGTAAAAGCCATACTATTAATTGAGATTTTGTTCCTGCTACTGTGCATCTTACTTTCCTGCTAAATTTAAATTTACTGAGTGGAGATAGCTTTTTATTGTGGTTCTGGCATCACATTGCCAAAATAGTTAAACCAGAAGAGAAACAAACACAAACTACCCAGCAAAGGAATGCATGTCAGTAACTTTATTGAAAGATAAATCCCTTAGTACCAAAACATAATGGTAGTTGGTTAGGCTGCCTTTGCCAACTCAGAATTAATCACTGATGAGGTCAGATTATTGAAATAGATGAGCTTTTTGGGAAAACTGAGGTTATCCACAAAACACAGTTTACAAAACTATAAGATATATTATGGTTCTTTGGTTTATTTTCCAGGCACATTTACCCATAACATGTCAAATTTGGGTAGAGCCATTCTGGATGGACTCAGGCTATTACTCACTGCACTGCGTAACTGTTTACAACACTTTTAATGCCATAGATCTCCTTATAGACTTAATAGAAAATCCTGAATACTACCTTAGCAACTTCATAATTATGAAGACATCTCTTACTTTTTTAATGACTTTCTTTAGGCACAAGAGGGACAATTAGTGAAAGTATATTCTCTTCCTTTTAAAATTCTAAATTAGCAGTTCTTTTTTTAAATGTTTATTTATTTTTGAGAGAGAGTGCGAACATTGGAGGGGCAGAGAGAGAGGGGGACAGAGGACCCAAAACAGGCTCTGCACTGACAGCAGAGGGCACGATGCAGGGCTCATGAACCGTGAGATCATGACCTAAGCCAAAGTTGGATGCTTAACCGAATGAGCCAACCAGTACCCCCTGGAATAGCAGTTGTTATAGAAACAGCCCTTAGTAGAAGCTTACGGAGTGTTAAATCAAGTTTTTGGAGTGAAGTTAATTTATTTTGAATTACACAAACCAGTTTTTCTTGATGGGATTAAACGGAGGCAGTAGATATTGTATAAGTTTTGTCATGGATACAAATATTACCTGTTTTTAGAAAAAATATTAAAGATAACCTAATATGCCAAAATGACTAGGGCTGTAGTTTTGCTTTTATAAAATGCCCTCAAATTTAAATGTGATTTCCAAGTAGCAATAAAGTCCACATCTCTGGATTATCTGTTTGCACTACAGGTACCAAGAAACCATTTTCACTGCCTAAAACAGTAACCCTTATTATGCCTTAAAAGTGCATTTGTGAATTGTTGGTTTTGATGTATACCTCATAATTTAGAATTTAATTAGGTTACCACTTTTAATACCACCTAAATACAATATACTGACCCAATCTACAAAGTTGGATCAATGTTTGAAATGAAGATTCACAGTTAACCTTCCCAGGCCTGTTATTAACATTTCACATTTATACTCTTAGCTTTGATTTGTATGCCTCACAGATGAATTCAAATTTAATTATAATTCCACTACAGCATGTTAATTAGGTAGTTTTCCCAAATCTGAGAACATCAATGCTAATCTCGTTGTGATGTTTTGAGGCTTCACAGCTTAAATCCATTATAACATTATGGAATCCATAGCTCAGGATTGTGGAGAAAGGCTT